TCGTTTTCTGTCGAGACTGAAAGAGAAAATTCGGGCACCCCTCATGCTTCATCGTCCTGGTGATGTGGACACTGCTAGCACGCTAGCGACTCTGCAAGAGGAGTTGAACCAGGCCAAAACCAGATCTCTTGGGCGGGGTTTCACCAAGAATCTGGACAGAAATACCTATCGGAAGAATGGGGAGAAAGTGCAAAGTGTGGAATCTGATGATAAAGTGGCTACACTAAAGCAATATCGTCGCAAGAATGGGCTCTACTTCAAATGTGGGGGCAAGTGGGCACCAAATCACACTTGTCCGAGCAAGTTCCGATTCATGTGTTGGAAGAGTTGTGGGATGCCCTGGAAATTCAGAATTCTGATGATTCCGAAGATGTGCAGTCAGAGTTGGTACCTGACGCGAGTTAGCTATGGCAGTACAGGAGCAAGGGACAGCCACAAAGGCTAGGCGCCAAACCCTGAAATTACTGACACAGATTGGGAAGCAGTAGGTTCTGGTGTTGGTTGACTCAGGCAGTATTGGTACATTCATCAGTGACCGATTGGTACAGACACTGAAGCTTTCAGTCCAACCCTGTACTCCAACTCAGTTCAAGGCAGCAGATGGGGGGCAGCTGCAGTGTGCTAGCCAAGTCATTGCCTTAGAATGGTGGGTTCAAGGCCCGACATTCACATCTGATGCCTTGGTACTGGCCCTGAGATGTTATTATGATATGATTATCGGTGAAGACTGGCTGGAATCTGTTAGTCCAGTATGGGTGGATTTCAAATCCAAAGCTATGAGGATCACTCACAAAGGGAAGAGGATTGCTCTGCAGGGTGTTCAAGATAATACTGCAGAGTGCCTGCCAGTACCAGCTAAGAAGCTCCAGGGATTGATTCGGGGTGGTGGAGTAGCGTACTGCATTAAGATGTTTCATGATCCTCCACATGCTGTGTTGTCGGACGACCAACAGTACATCTGCTCAATCCAGGCAGAGGACATGCCTGCAGTGCCAACTGAAGTACAGGAGTTTATCCAGCAGTATGAACACCTCTTTGCTACACCCACTGAGTTACCTCCAGCTCGTTTAGCCGATGATCAAATCAATCTGATGCCAGGAGCTCAGCCCGTACGAGTGAGACCTTATCACTACTCACCAATTCAGAAAACAGAAATTGAAACCCAAGTTAAGGAAATGCTGAACAATGGTGTGGTTCGCCCTAGTGCAAGTGCATTTGCTTCGCCGGTACTGCTGGTATGCAAGAAAGATGGCACGTGGTGCTTTTGCGTTGATTACCGGCATTTGAACGCTATGACACTGAAACATAAGCACCCAATGCCAGTTGTGGAAGAGTTGTTGGATGAGCTTAGTGGAGCTACTGTTTTTACAAAACTAGATTTTCGGGCAGGGTACCATCAAATCCGAATGGCAGCTGGTGATGAGTATAAGACGGCTTTTCGTACACACCAAGGTCTATATGAGTTTCTGGTCATGCTGTTTGGGCTCACAAACGCGCCTGCAACATTTCAGAGCTTGATGAACACTCTATTTGCAGAACTCTTACGCTGGGGAGTTTTAGTGTTTATGGACGACATATTGATTTATAGTAAGAATCTTGAGGAACATCTGGTGTTGTTGCAGCAAGTGTTTGACATTCTGCACCAAAACAAGTTCTACATCAAAAAGAGCAAGTGCTTCTTTGCTCAGCCGACAGTAGAATATTTGGGGCATATCATCTCGGCAGAAGGGGTAGCCACTGACCCTACCAAGATAGCAGCTGTGCAAAATTGCCCAACACCTAAGACTGTCAAGCAGTTGAAAGGTTTTGTTGGCCTCACTGGCTATTACAGACGATTCATACAACATTATGGAATAATTAGTCGACCCTTGACTGAAATGCTAAAAAAGGGTCAGTCATTCCACTGGAATTCAGATTCTGACAGAGCCTTCCAATTGCTGAAACATGAGATGATACAAGCACCTGTACTTGCTGTGCCTAATTTCAGTAAAACTTTTGTTCTTGAAACTGATGCTTCAGATTTAGGGATTGAAGCTGTGTTGATGCAGGAAAATCATCCAATTGCATATCTCGGTAAACATCTATGTTCTAAGAATCAAGCTTTGTCAGTCTATGAAAAGGAGTGCCTTGCAATTTTGATGGCTGTAGACAGATGGAGGCCATATTTGCAACATAATCAGTTTCTCATCAGGACTGATCACAAGTGTCTCTTGCACCTCACTGAGCAAAGAGTTGCTTCCAGAATTCAGCACAAGGCAATGATGAAACTCATGGACTTCAAATATCAGATTCAGTATAAGAAGGGTATAAACAATGCTGCTGCAGATGCCTTGTCAAGGTGTGTGGGTGATGAAGAAGTAAATGCAATCTCTGAATGTGTTCCTGCCTGGGTGCAAAGACTGAAAGAAGGATATCAAGAAAATCAGCAGGATCAGCAATTACTTACTGAGCTGTTGGTCACTAGTGAAAACAGCAAGGGCTTCACATTAGTTGATGGAGTTATCAGGTGTCATGGAAGAGTATGGGTTGGCAATAATAAACTGGCACAGCAGCATATCCTTCAGGCAGTGCACAGTAGTGGCATTGGGGGCCATTCTGGAATCACTCCAACATATAACAGAATCAAAGCATTATTTGCTTGGCCCAACATGAAACAACTGTTCAAACATTTGTGCAACAGTGTGAAGTATGTCAACAAGCAAAGATAGAACACATCAGGCAGCCAGGCCTACTGCAACCCTTGTCAGTCCCATCTCAAGCTTGGGAAGTAGTCAGTTTAGATTTCATAGAAGGCTTGCCACCTTCTGATAGATACAATGCAATCCTGGTTGTAGTGGACAAATTCACCAAATATGGACATTTCATTCCCATTCATCATCCATACACTGCTATGCAGATAGCAAAAGTCTATTTGGACAACATATATAAGCTCCATGGATTGCCTAAGGCCATGATTTCAGATAGAGATCCAGTGTTTACAAGTAATGTCTGACAGCAGCTTTTCAAGTTGACTGACACCAAGTTACTGATGAGCTCAGCATATCATTCTCAAACGGATGGACAGACAGAACGGTTGAAATAATGTCTGGAAGGTTTTCTTCGCTGTACAGTCCATTCATGTCCTCGGCAGTGAAGTAAGTGGTTGTTTGTGGCTGAGTATTGGCATAATACAGCCTAGTAGCCTACCATTCAGCTATTGGTCATTCCCCATCTGAGGTACTGTATGGGCACAATCCTCGTCATTTTGGAATCTCAAATCTTCAGATGCGTTCAGTACCAGAGTTGGAACAGTGGCTCAAAGAAACAGAATTGCTGTCAAGGGTGATTCAGTTGCAGTTGACTAAAGCTCAACAACGAATGAAATCAGAAGCCGATAAGAAACGTTCTGAAGGAAGCTTTCAGCCAGGAGATATGGTCTATTGTTCAGTCAACAGTGGCTGCAAGATCAAACAAGAAACTGTCATTCAGGTATTACGGTCCATATCGTGTATTGGAACGTATCGAAGAGGTGGCGTACAGGTTGGATCTCCCAGCTCACAGTCGTATCCACCCAGTGCTGCATTTATCTCAACTCAAGAAACAAGTTGCTGCTGGTTGTGAAATCTCTGATGATCTGAGCACAGTTTGTACTGATCCAGCAACGGTGTTGCAGCTGGAGAAGACATTGGATAGCAGGATGATTCAACGTGGAGCCGAGGCCGTGAAACAAGTTAAGATCAAGTGGACTAATCTTCCAGAAGCTATGGCAACTTGGGAGGATGCGACAGCATATGAAGAGTGTGATGATTTCTTAGCTTGAGGACAAGCTAGTTCTTAAGGGAGGGAGAGTGTTATGGCTAGGATAGTCATAGATGACAGGTGGTCCTCGGCCAGCTGTGTGTGAGTAAGGCGGTTAGGAGTTTGTTACCAGGTGACGTCATGTAAAGACATCTCTGAACCCGACTCTGAATACATCTTCTCCCGCGGGTTCCAGCCGTGTTCCATATATGATTTCTCCCCCAATTCCTCTTTCCTACCCTTGATTCTATTCTGGATTGATCGTTACCGTAACACCACCTGCCAACCGAGCAGCGAGCACGCGACGAGCTGACGACCACTGCCTGCCCTGCGGGGCCGGCGCCCCGTTACACCTACTACCCTGCCAGTGCCATTAACCCCGACGAGCCATAGCGGCGACTGCGCCCTGCGTCGGTCGGTTTGCCGTGAGTCCGCGACAACGGTCACCGCCTCCACGGATCCAATCGCGCCTGGGCGCCGCTGGTCGTGGTCCCCGCAGCGGATTCCTCAGAGATCACCTCGTGAGATTCATGTGTCCGTGTCGGCATGTTCCGCCAGAACTCTCGCGCAAGAGGCCCCAGCAGGCCGGCGCCCACGGATCGACCTGGAATCATAGATCGGCGGCGTCGTCCTATTTTACCCAGCGCCAGCACGCGCCCTCCAGATTTTGCAACGTGCGAGGCAATGAACGGCGCCGCATCATGCCGGGCATGTGACCCGACTGCACCCAAGTCCAAACGTGCAGTGGCAACATGAGACGCACTAGGAGAGAGGGGGGTACACCAACAAATATAGCTCAGGCACAGAGCACAGAATCAGAATGCATGGAAAGCGGCCGCCACCAAACACTAGAATAGTTCTAGTAAACACAACCTAACACACAAGGAGGCACATACAGGAAGCAACAAAACAAAAGAGGACTGAAGAAACACGTTCGACTACACGTATGTCCGGAACTACCAAAAGAATCCCTAGATCTCTACCAGTACAAAGCACCACACATGGCGGCCACCACTAGCACGAGCAAGGAGAGAGAGGACAGAGGTCAGTTGAATAGCAATAAACCCCGTACTACCACTACACTGACGGCTGATCGATCAAAACCCAGCAGGCACGCACGCACGCCAGGCAGCGACCAGAGCCACCGCCGAGGCGGAATCCACTGCCCACCCCGTTTGCGCGTGTCGTGCCCGCCCGCCAGCCCAGTTGGCACCGCGTCCCGCCTAGCGGAGGAGAGGTGCGGCGGCGGCGACGAGGGCAAGGGCGGACACCACGTGGAGCCCGGCGGCACGCGGCGCGGTGGCGTCGTTGTAGTCGGTGCTGCCTGCTCCTGACGGGCCGTACGCGCCCGTGCCGCCGAACGGTGGGCTCAGGGTGTTCCCGGGGGTCGTGATCCCCGTGCCGGTACCGGTGCCGGTGCCAGCGCCAGCTCCAGTGCTAGTCCCCGTCCCAGCGCCCATGCCCGTGCCTGCTCCGGTTCCAGCGCCTGTCCCGGCGCCGGTGCCCGCGCCAGCGCCCATGCCACCGCCGGTGCCAGCTCCAGCCCCGCCGGTGCCCATGCCAGCGCCGCCGCCGGTGCCTGCGCTGCTGCAGGAAGGAGAATCAACAATGGCAAGACACGTTAGTCCGACGAAAGAACCGCGAGTAAACGCGATTTGCTGGGGAAAAGAATCTGGGGAGACAACGCTATCGTGCACCGAAAAATCTGGGGATATCCATTTGCTTTAGCTGCAAAAAAAGCTCTTTGGGTTTGATGAACCGCGGCTGGCCGGCTGCCATTGGTCCAGCAGGTTCAGTGTACTTTGGCTAACGCGGCCGCCGTCCCCAGAAGGGACCCCGGCGCGGCCCGCCGCTTTGGCTTTGAAAAGGCATTGCCAAGCTCGGACCAGAGGATCCACTTCAGACGCCCTTTATTTTCACATGGCCAGGAACTGTACGCGGGACGACGGCCAGCAACGATATACCGATGCAGCTAGCACTACTGCAGCTAGAGCTAAATATTTTCCCCCCTTCGGATTTGGCATTGCAATCTTGCAAGTTGGTGTATGGTACACGAGGAGCACTAGTGCTTTGGGTACCGGACTATGACTTTATTCAAAGCTTTGTTGAATTAAACTACTGTCATCGATGTGACTGTGCACGGCCAAGCGTTCCCCATGTACAGAATCTAACACTAAGGGGGTGTTTAGATTCCAAAAATTTTTGCGCAGTACCCGTCACATCGAATCTTGCGGCACATGCATGGAGTACTAAATGTAGACGAAAAAAAAAACTAATTGCATAGTTGGGTGAGAAATCGCGAGATGAAACTTTTGAATCTAATTAGTCCATAATTAGACACTAATTATCAAATACAAACGAAATGCTACAGTGAGCCAAAATCCAAAATTTTTTGGATCTAAACGCCCCCTAAAAGAGCCCTAATACGATTTAACAATGCCAAATGACCTGACAGTGACACTGGTCGAGGACAGTAAGTACCCCAAGTATACCGCATCGTGCTTACTTCCCAGATTCCAACTATACACTACTCTAATCAGCAGTAGCAAATACTGTACGTAATACTGAAGTCCCAAATCTGAAGAAGGAAATACAGTAGTACACTAGCTACATATCAATGGAAGATGGATTCGGCGAGGTTGGTGGTTTACCTGGGGCCGGAGGCGAACTTGCAGGTGCCGGAGCTGGGGTCGCTGCCGGTGAGGGTGGCGACGCCGTTGAAGTCGCAGGTGGCTCCCATGCCGCTCCGCATCTGGTAGTAGCTGTTGCAGATGTAGGAGCAGACGGCCACCTTGTTGCCGTTGCCGTAGCACGGCCCGCCCTGCTTGCTGGAGGCGCAGTCGGCCCCCTTGCTGCAGGCGTAGTCGATCGCCGCCTGCAATCCCTGGTCGGGCACGCCCGTCTTGCACACGCAGAACGCCGCATCTGAGCAGAAGAGAGGAGCCGTTAGTTCAAATCTGGTCACTCATGTAAGAAACCACTGACCGTTTCTTGTTCTTCAGCTGGATAACTACGCACAAAGATTGGGGAAACGAAAAAAAAATATTTCCTGCCCACGCGACAAGGAGTAGACACATTCGACAAGGAGGAGGAGGGTCGGTCATAGCTCAAGGCACAAGAGCGACAGATTTCAAGAAGCAGCTGACTAGGGGAGTAAAGGCAAACAAAAGAGGGACAGAAACAAAAAAGAGCGATAGATTTCACACAACGCTAAGCGCAGAGCAGCGTGCAGATCCGGAGCTTATTACCTGAGCCTGTGAACATGGCCAGCAGCAGCAGGAGAAGCAGGGGAGCCGCCATGGCTGCAAGAGGTCTCGAGCTCTCTGGACTCGTGAACGCTGGGAAGAGAGTGTGCGCGCGATGGGGACAGCTCGGTGTGGGGACTGGGGAGTGGTGTGGTGTCCAGTGTCGTCAAGCCCTCCGAGCCGTCCTCCCTACTTTTATGGACGAAAGCACCGACCACACGCTGAAGCGGCGCTTGATTTTCCCCCAATTTTCTTTTTGCTGCTGCGAGCGAACACCGTCGCGTGGCCGAGGGCGGCCGTGCACAGTGACTGACGGAGTGGGTGCGCCCCTTTGGGGAGGAGCCCGCCGTGTCCGGACGCCAACGGCTCGATCTCGCTCTCTCTGGCCGTCTGGCGTCGCTGTGGGGTAAAGCCAGGGCGGTGAGTCATCGTCGTCTGTTCTCTTTCGCTGTGCGTGTGTCAGCCAAAGCGAGCGAGGGGTGTGGTGCGTGCACGGTGGCACGGTGCACGCTGAGCGCCGCTCTGGGGCTGCGCTGTCCGGCTTTGGCATGGCATGGCATGGGAGCCGATGCGGGCCTGTGTTTTGGGGCTGCCTTTACGGCCTGCACCATCCCACGCAGACGCAGGCAGGAGTTGCAACGTTCGGATGCTGATTGTACTCCGAGGTTTTCTTTATTGGGGGCATAACCTGCCTCTTTTGCAGTAAAGTGGGTTTTAGGAGTGAAACTTTTTTTCTTATAGAAATATTTTTTTGTCGTTCTATATTGTCACGGCAAAGATCTACTGTGGTAGGTGGGTGTATTATTATACTGTATATTCTTTGGTGCTGCTAGGGGTGACATGACACTATAATTTGATTGTTTGTTGAATGTTTATGCATCGTCATCTACTACGTGTTACTCCCTTCATTTCTTTTTATCCATACGTATCCATACGTATTAAGATTTGGAAAAAGGTTTTAGAAGTATATTATGATCATCTGTTACTCATAATATACCATCAACGGTTTTAAAATCAGTTTGTATTCAAAACTTCTATAACCTCCTCACTATTTTTTTTACCTCTCTACAAAATACATTAGCGACATTAGAGAGTTGCTTCATCAGAGGAGAAAGAGCATGTTTGGGTCCACACTAGATTGTAAAAAGTTGTTTGTGGCTTGTGAATTTGTAATGTCTATATGAGAAGTTAGACGCATTTAGATGAACTAGAGATTATAATAGGCAAAAAAAAAAAACTTGTACAAACTATTCCATTTTTAAAAAAAAAACTTTTAAACCAAAACTTTATTAAAAGATGCAACTCAAACAAAACATGCCCTTATGCTATTTGACTTACAAGTTTATCATGGAATTCGGCTTCAATATAGTGGCACCCAAACAAAACCTTAGTGATAGCATGGAAGTCCTGTGGCATGGGCGTCCCAAACTTATGTTTTGTACAATATATGGATGGAGTATATGTCTCCACACAGATACAGACATAGGTTCTTCATGTGCCTGGACCTCGACGACGATTTCAAGGTTTCTTACAACTACCTTTCGTACCTTATTTTTCATAAGCATAATGTATCGTCTTGAAATCTACTTGTTCACCTAGACTTGCACTTTTCCGTGGGATGGTTCTATCATCAAGTTCATCAACGTTATTTTCTGTCTTTCAATCTTATATTTTCTCACCAATTAAAGTTGAACAAAATTATTTAACATGCTAATAAAATTTAAACAGTGGTAGATTTGCATTTAATATGTTGTTGTTTAGTACATTTTGGTTGTGGTAAATGATTTTTGACATAATATGATTTTACATCGTTGTCTAATGTAATTTTAGCGAGTCACTTAACACAACATAGATATGGCGAAACTTGTACACACTGACTAGATATGAATGCATCGTACATAAGAAATCAAATACGTAACTACATAAATTCAAATGCATCACTACGTGCAATGTCATGTGGGGGAGCTCTATATTGCTTAGGCGAAGAGCCTAACGTCTAAAGATAACATGCCTTATAGATTGCAAGGATATTTTCCCTTTTTTATGCCACCATGAAGATGGCTTTGCTGATTCCATCTTCCCTCCTTTGGCCCTTGATTGCCTACTCTATCTTGAAGTTTGTCATCTTTGTTGTTTTGATGGGTGCCTTACATGCCGCTAGCTGTCGGCATCTTCTATGTAGCTCATCTTCCATACCCTTCGAGATGGATATGTTGAATTGTTGAACTCGAACACTGAACTCCTGTTCAACCCTCATTTAGCGCTCTATCTCGCAATGTTGATCCATCCTCATATAGTATTAGTCTTTGTTTTCCACCTTAATTGCATGTCCTTTAGGCAAGTAGTGCATTTGGATTTCTTGCTTCCATGCCTTGAAACCTGTGACAGCAAGATCTGGCTGTTGCTGTGGGAGAAGCCAAAACAACTCGCCAGGCTAGACGAACGTCTTGGTGCTCATGCCAGTAGGACGAGGCGAGGCTAGGTGAGACCACACCCTCAAATGTTGATAGGGCCCTTACATCATTTGACATGATTATAAGGTATTTGCCGCCTTAAAAATAGGTGACTTTACGATACTGCCGTTCAATTGGGGGTATAAGTCTGGATTTAAAAAAATCTGTTTTGTAAAATATATATTTGAGACGAGAAAATGAAAGAATATATAAAAAGATAAAAAAAAACTCTAATGTTGTGACGGGCTGGGCTTTAACAAGCAAATAGAAAAAAAATTATCTCAGCCCAACCGTCCACCACGGGTCCACGGCACCACCTCCCTCGTTCCCCACCCGTCTCCCTCCTCGCGTTCCTCTCGTCCGTACGCCGCCGCCGCCGCCGCCCTACGCCAGGTGCCGAGGCCCTCGCCGATCTCTTATCCGCGAAGAGTGCCCACCAGGTATTCCGCCCCTTCTCTTCCCTGTCTGCTGTGCGAAACCGAGTTCCCAAACTCTAACCTCAAGCTCTTTGGCTACTTGATGGCTACATGTTTACGCACATGTCCCTTTACTAGATCCGCCCCTGATGGACAACGTCGAGTCTGCCCCTGACTCGCCGGCGCAGGCGCCGCCGTCATCCGCCTCTTCTCTCCCCAAGGTCCCTTTCTCCTTTCTCCTCCTCCTCTATCTCTTAAGGAAGGAGGGCGTGTTATACTGTTATCAATATCATCGTGACTTATCTTCAATGTTGTAATGTTGGTATATGTTAGGAGCAATCGCAGGTGGAGTTGGAGCTGAGGCTGCTTCAGGCTCTCGAGTTCTACCCTCCATCAAAACTCAAAGGTTTCTTTCTTTTTGTTTGTTGGCCCTTGGGGCTTGGCATAAATTGTCGTCAATTATGTAAACATCTATGCTAATGACACTAATTCACTAACGGGGAAATAGGTCAACATTGAATGAGCTATCTGAGTACCATATGCATGCTTGTCATATAACAAAAGGTTGGCTTCCATGTCCAAAAAAATGTGTGATTGCACTTTGAAAGAAACAATGTATTCACCCTCATTGGAATAAATGATTGGTATATTTGCAAAATATTTTGATGTGCAAAGGATGTAATTTCTGTTGTTAAGGTTCAGCTAAAGCTTGTTGAGTGATGTACAAGGTGGGATTATAGTATTGCAGAATTGAAGGTGGGTTTGTGCCCCTCACACTATAAGTTACAGGGCTCCAATGTCATGCTGCTGCACTATCAGAAAAACTAGAAACCATGCAATTTCCATTCTGTTGTTCTTTCAAAGAATTTAACTGAAACCAACCTGGCTTTCAATGCTTCAGTTAATCATCTGAGGTTGCCGTCCATCATTTCCATGATGGAGTATGCCAGTATAAATAATTTGCAAGGCATTTTCAAAGAGCATCTGAGTCTGTCTGTTGATAAAAATAGCATGTGCTGCATTGGCAGTGATAGTCTGACTACCTGTTTTGCTAAGTTGTTTTGATCGGGCGCTTCGCAATAGAATTCAATTTTTTTTTATAAAAAAAGTCACACTTAGATAGAAAACAACATAAAAGTGGTATAGAGCGATTGGAGTGACAATAATTATATTGTATTTCTAGTTTAAACTAAACAGAAGTGGTTAAACATATATATGATGAATGACTGAATGAGCATAAGAAGTTGAGGAAAGAAAATACTAAAATAAAAAAAAAGATAAAATGGATTATCTACAAAAAATTAACTGGTTTCTGTCTCCCATCTAGGATTTAGGAATTCTAGCAAATAATGTTTTGTGAACCCTGTTTCCAGCAACTTAAACAAAGTTCTAAAGAATGCATTTCCTTGTTTCGCACATGTTGTAATTCTGGTGTACTTGTTTTAGGCATTCATCGGCACTTTGTTCTCTATGGCCTCATGGAATATTTGCGAAAAAGGTAGCCACATATGAAAATTTCAACTTCGAACACTACAGTGAAAATATGTGGAATCTGGTCTGACCATATGTTATATGTTACAGCCTTGACCGACAATTCTCTTCTGATGAAGTTTTACAACTCTTGGACCGCTTCTTTAACCTAGAAATGCTGGTATCTGGAAACCCATATCTGAATTACTTTGTTATATTCCCTTTTTGTTTTTGTCTTATATTTGTGTGGACATTTGGATTAGATTAAATCTATATCTGCATAAATTTACCACAATTTCACATTAGTATGGAAATTCTACAGTTGGGACGCAACTCACAAGTTTTACTTATGATGATTAATAAATGAAGAAACCAGAGGATGATGAAAAGGACAACTTCAGTCCGGGGGAAGAATTTTCCTTGCCAGAGAGTTTTCTCAACAAGGAAGAATAATAGCAAGTAACTTGGTAATGTCGTAGGAGGTAAGCACATGCACTACAGCTTATAAGTCATGGAATCATGCCAGCGTTTTTTTTCTCCCGGTGTTGTCTTCTGACATTGTTTGGGACTTAAAAGGCTTTGTTGTTGTTGTTGTTGTTGTTTTGTCTTCTGACATTACGTGCAAACATGATGATAAGGTGGTCGCATCTTGCAGGTACTTTGGGCGTCCTCTGGAAGAGAGATCAGAACGCTGGTTCTTAGTGATTCACACTTTTTCTAGTAGCATTGTCGTCCAGAACATAGGTTGCGAGGAGACACTGAACACTGAAGTAAAGAAACACATTTCCTAAGCTGTGGTTGTGTAATTGTGTTTACTGACTGTACAGCTTTTGTTCACTAGTAGTGTAATCGATTAAATTGTGCGGTTGCCTGGAGGGTGATTGGGTGAACAAAAAGCAAGGAGGGGCGATTACAAAAGCTACTGCTGTTTTACCTATCAAACTTCTCTGATCATGACTATAGGCGCAGTCCTATAAAGCATCCATGAGGATTATAGGCTATCAAAATTACCGCTGTCCTACCATATTGCCCTAGTAGTCGTTGAAAGTCACGCCTTAATACTTCACTTATTGTGTCACGACATTTTGTAATACAAACTTTAATAGAGAGTCCCCAGTGGCTAGCTAGAAGCTAGTTGACTAGGGTTACTACACAATGCAAATTTATTAGAGTAAGTATAATAAGATGATGTAAGTAGGATGTAGCAAGTGTCACATCAGATTTGCGTTTGTTCGGGTGGAGGAGAGAAGAGAGAAAAGAGAAGCGGTAGTTTATGTACATGTACATGGTTTAAGAAACTCTGTGAGAGAGTAAGGTGGATCAAGTATTAATGTGTAAGGGTGGGCTATTTGTATTAGTAGCGACGCTCTTAGGGCGTCCCAGTGATACTATCGATTTCGTTAGCTTAGACGGAAGTGAGAGACTGAAAAGAAATATTATCTTATTTCCTTCCTCCCCACCTGCAGAGCATTGCCGTAAATCTGTTCTCGCAATTCCTCGATCCTAGCGAAATCGTCTGCTGATTATCTCGTCGCTAGTGAGATGTTTTTATCATTGTTTAATATTTTCACGTCGGACGAAGAAGCTGACGACGTAGCCGGTCCTTGAGGACGCCCTTAGGCGTGTTTGGATTGTGACCGGTAGGCAGATTCTCGTCCAGGGACGAAATCCTACGCCTGGAATTGCTTGCCTTGCCTGGCCAGGCGTTGTCCGGAGGCTTAATCCAAATAAGCCCTTAGAGCGTCTCTAGTGGCTAGCTAGTATCTAGCTGACTAGGATAGTAGGATTGATAGTAGGATTGCTACACATGTGGCAGTTGGCATAATAAGTAGAGGACATTAGTGGCCTCGTTCGCTTGGAGGAATCTGTATGAATTTGGAGAAATTTGTGAGAGGAATCAGTCAGCTATAGTGCTTTTTCAGCCGGCTACAATGCTTTTTTTTTTCAGCCGAACACAGTCACTGTAAGCTGATAAGTACTAACGCAGGCAATGTCAACACTTAACGTAGAACTGAAGTAGTTTTTGTTTTACAAAGCTGAAAGAAAGCATATGTTTTTTTACAAAACTGAAAGAAAGCATATGTGACATTGTAGTTGATACTCTGAAATTTGAATCCCTTGCTAGATGCCAATAGATCTCGGAAGATGATTTCTATGGCTGATAAGTCGGCTAAAGCTGATTTGTTGAGAGAGATAAATAGTGTTCCATAATCCATAGCTGATAAGCCAGGCGAGTTCACGCGAACAGGGCTGCACTTTGAACCGCACAGATTTCCAGCTTCCTTTCCCATTCGTCGTACTCGACTACTCGTATCTCTCTGGTTGGGAACTTGGCACCGGTACAGCACTAGTAGTACGCCGTCTGTTTTGCTGGTGCACGATGAACTCTCAGGTTTCCGAATTCTGAGTTCTGAGTTCTGACCGAAGAGCCAGCCGAGCTTCGTGAGTTTCCGTAGAGAGCGGCACGGCACGGCACGACACGCAACTCCCCGAGAAGGCCAAAACAGCCATGGCCGGCCCATAGAAAATCCACGGGCCATGGCCGGGCCGGCGTTTCCTCCCAACCTCCACTTCCCAAGTGAAAGTCCACGGGCTCGCAGTCGGAGCAATCGACAGCAGATAATAAACCCCGAGCCGGACGTCAGGACGCCCCACCAGTCAGCGAGCGAAAACCCGCGGCGGCACGAGCGCACCCACGGCGTGCCCGTTGGACGCTTGCTTGCCGGCCTGGACAGGCCGCAGCGGGCGGCACATGGGCTCCGTTCCAAAGCGCATCTCCTTTCCCCTGCCTCTCCCACTCCCGATGTGAATGTGAGTCAGTGACACCCTCTCCGCCGCCGCCGATCCCGTCCCCGGCCCGCCGAGAAACCCCCGCCGGATCACGCGCCAATGCCCCGTCACGCCCACCACGACCCGGCCCCGCCCGCCTGCTGCTCCTGCTGCTGCGGATGCGCGGGCGTGGCGCCGTGCTACTACCCGGCACCCGCGCCGGCCCCGCCCTGCTCCGCCGCGTCCGACCAACTCCTCCACGCCATCGCCGCCCACCTCCTCCTCAGCACCCCGGCGCCTGCTCAGCCGCAGCCCCAGCCACAGCCCCAGCCGCCACCGCCGCCGCCGCCTCCCGCCGCGCACCACGCGATGAATCCCTATCCGTATCCGTATCCGCACCCCCAGCAGTACCAGCAGCAGGAAGCCAAGCCCCATGCCTACACCCATCCACCGCCGCCGCAGCACCTGAAGCCCAATCCATCCGGCGACCACGGCCACCTCCTGCTCCACTCGCTCCTGCGTCGGGTGTCCGCGATAGAATCCGCCCTTCCCCGCTGCTTCGCCGCCCCTGCTCCCGCGCGCCGACCGCCCCACCCGAACTCTCGCCCGCGCCGCGCGGCCCGCTACCAGGAGGAGGAGGAGCAAGAGGTGGAGGAGGGAGACGAGTCGGAACCGGAATCGCCGCCCTCGCCTCCTCCGCCGCGGCCGCGGCGACCGGCGCGCACGGGGCCGCCACCCTCCGCGGCGAGTGACCGCGCGGCGCGGACGATCCAGGCCCACTTCCGCCGCTTCCTGGCGCGGCGCTCCCGGACGCTGCGCCAGCTCAAGGAGCTCGCCGTGCTCCGGTCAAAGGCCGCGGCGATCCGGGGGTCGCTCTCCGGCCGCCGCGGGGGCGCCGACCCCGCCGCCGTCTCAGAGGCGGCCATGGGCCTCCTCCTCTGGCTCGACGCTATCCAGGTGATGGAACCCTTGCCATGAACTCGTTCACTTCGGTCCGTATGCCACGGTGTGCTGGGTTTTGAATTGGGTTTTGGATCAGGGAGGGGACCCGATGATCCGGGAGGGCAAGCGCGCGGTGAGCCGGGAGCTCACCCGGATCTTGGAGTTCGTTGACAAGGTGCTGATCAAAGAGCAGCAGCAGATGGTGATGGCCGACGAGTACCATGACGGCTGCAATGCTGCATTGGTGGCAGGTCGCCCGTCTGTGAGCAAGAAGGTGAGTTTCTCCGGTAATGGTCAGGTTCACACGATCAATGAAAAGACAGAGAAAGGAAATGAAGTTGATCAGGGCTCTGAAGGCTCCAGCTCTGCTGAGTCTGATGAGGTGAAGCCTAGCAAGAGAAGTGCCTATGTTAAGCCTGGTCTTGCAGCACCAATACCTGTGCACATGGAGTCGAGGCCGGTTGCGGGTGAAAGAAGATAACTTGTCATCGGTATCATGTGATGCCATTAAGGTTTATAATCTTGTGGTTCATCATCTCGCTGCCACATTTCCACTGCTGTTTCCCACTGATGCTTCATGAGGGATTTTTTTTCTCAAATTGTAGAGTATGTACAACTGTGGACTCTAGAACTAGGGCAGTTGTATGCTCAGACGACCTCTCTGTTAATTGTATTTTGTTGCAGAATTGTACTACTGTACTAGTACCAGCTTTAGAACTGAGAGTTGTAGCTTGGATCATTTTGTTCAACTGAAATGTTTAGGATCTTGGATAATCCCATATTTCTTGTCTGCCATGCTCAGTATGATCGTTGATCGATGAGTCACAAAGCTACCATATTCTGATTGTACCCTTGCTGGCTGAAGATTTCTCCTGAACTGATGTTGCCTCGTGTTCTTTGGCCAAGTCATGCTGATATAGTAATTTGGATCTGTGCAGTTTGTTTGCATTTATGAATTGTTGCTTATGACAAATGACATGTGATTTCTATAGTCTAGCTGTTTCTTCAGAAGTTGAGGCATGTTAATTTGTTACTCCTTCCGTTTCAAATTATAAGACGTTTTGACTATTTTAGATATGTAAATTTTGTACACTTAGATATACATTAGAGTAAATTGCACGGCCGGTCCTTAAAAACTATGAAATTACACTCTGGGCTCCTCAATCTACTTAATTCGGTCCATGTAGGTCCTAAACAACCCAGGCGGTGTCAAGCAGTCGACGTGGGGGAGGCACGTGAGGCACACGTGACCCTCGGCAGCCACCGGCATTTTAGCCAATGTCGGCACAGCAAGCACGCACCCGTCGCGCTCGCCTCACCGCACAAACGACAGCCGCAGCACGCCGCCGCTCCCAGGACCTGCTGCGGGAGACCCGGAGGAGCAGCAGGGCACCGACGTCGACGAGTTCCCCGCGCACATCGCCTTGTGCAGGGACGACACCTTGCCGGTGACCAGGTCGGTGAAGCTGCAGCCGAGCGGCGCCGTGCCCGTGTCCGTCTCCAGGAAGGCCCGCTCGTCGTCCGTCAGCGGCGGCGCCCCGTACGTGTACTTCCACCACCATGGCTCTGCTCCACTCTTCGCCGCTGTTGCTTCGGTTTGTTTGTGTGGCGACGGAGACGGCGGCGCGGCGGCCACGGGTTTGTGGAGCAGGGTAGTGCCGGTGATCACCACCAGGCTCCGCCTCTTGGTTTCCTCCCTCGACTCAGGGTCTAGAGGCCTGAAGGAGAAGGACCTCTTCCAGGTGTCCACCATAGCAGCTATGGCCGGTATCACCAGCTTCTCCACTTGCACTGACGCCAGCACCTGGTTCACTCACAGAGATTGTATCACTGACGGACAGAGTAGCGAGTGAGTTGGTGACAGTAGTGTCGTGCACCTACCTGCTCGACAGCGTTCACCAGCCGACGCATCATTCCTTGTTTCTGGTAAGCTGGCAGTGTGCCTGCGAACGGCGAAGTGTGGCGGTTGCGGGTACTGGAGTGCGGAGAGCAGCGCGGCGGTACGTGTGCGTGTTGCAGTGCTATGAGGAAGCCACCACCCACCACCACCTCCATTAAAGGCGCTCACTCGCCGCTTCCGCCTCCACGAGAAAGCGAGGCGAGAGAGGGAGTGAGGGCGTCGTACGCGACCTCCGTCGTCAAGGCCATCTCTCTCCTCCACACTTCCTCCCCTCACGGGGGCAGCCACGTACGAAGGCAGCTCACCAACGCCCAGCAGGCAGCAGCACCCCCTCGCCGCATCACCCCACGCCGTGCGCCTTTAAAGACAGCGCGCGACAAGCTTAAAGGTTCCCACGCCGCCACTCGCGCTGCTCTTTGCGCCACGGCTCGACGCGGTTGATCGGTGCTTTTTATCTGTTCCTTCTTGTTGCAGCTTCAGAGGTAACAGAGGTCAGAGCCGTCGCGCACGCGCGAAAGCAGAGGAGGAACGGCAATGGCGGTGACCGCGCGGCTCGGCGCCGTCGTGGCGTGCGTCGTCTTGGCGGCCGTGGCGGTGGCGCCGCGGCGGGCGGCGGGGATCCTTGACCCGGTCGACTTCCTGGCGCTGCAGGCCGTGTGGCGGTCGCTGGACGACATGCCCGGCTCCGAGTTCTTCGACGGCTGGGACTTCACCGCCGATCCATGCGGGTTTCCCGGCGTGTTCTGCGACGGGGACCGGGTGGCGGCACTCGCGCTCGGCGACCCCGGGCGGGGTCTCCGGGGCTGACGGGGCGGCTGGACCCAGCGCTGGGCCGGCTGTCCGCGCTCACCGAGTGATGCCCGGGCGCGTCGAGGGGGAGCTCCCGGCGTCGCTTGCGTCGTGCTCGAATCTCCGCTTCCTGGAGGTCAGCAAGAACCTCCACTAGGCTCGGAGTCCTGCTGCGCGGCAGGCTCGGAGGCGCAAACGGCTGTCCAAGCCTGAGGCTCCTCGCTCTCCGCCCGCGCCGCCTCCGCGTACGTGGACAGCCACGTCGACTGCTTGCGACTGGCTGTTTAGGACCTATATGAGATTGGTGAGCTAAGTGTGAGATTTCATAGTTTGGGGATCCAAACGAAATCAGCCCAATACTTTAAGGATCGGCTGTGCAATTTACTCTACACATTATGTCTAGATACATAGTAAAAGCAATGTATCTAGAAAAGGCATAACATTTTATAATTTATAACCGATGGAGTATGTTTGAAATATTCAGTTGTCACCATTTCTTTTCTAACTTCCTTGATTATGTATAAAAATGTAATTAAGCTGTCACGTATCCTCTTGCCCTATTCTTTTGAAATTTGAGGGTTTCTTTGTGTTGTCATGCACCTACAATGATATCATTAGACCCTTAATTGCATGGTCATCAATACACCAAAACTCAGTTAGGGGTCTTGATGCTTTTTCACTAGCTTTTTCCTTTTTCTTTAAAATCTACCCAGGTCATTTTTTGAAACAAGCTAGGCCAATTTTTGAAGTGTTTTCGTATTTTCACCCATTCATCGTTGTTTTGGCTTCCACACTTTTCTAGCCTCCACCTAAGGTCGGTATGCATGTTGTGACTACGTTATCTTGGGAAGAGTTATAATAAAGGCTCATGTTCATCTTTGACATAGAGCCAACATATCACTTGTCTCATCCACGAGAAAATTTGAGTCTTCCATTTACCTCTTATATGTCACCTTTTTTTTATCCTTCACATCTAATTGATAAGTAGACATGCCCAACTAAAAGTGTGCCAAATTGTTTGAATATTATTTTCTCATGCCACTAATAAATGGTTAATTTAAGCATGTTATTCTTCTTCCCCTTTTTACCGTCATAATTTCACGCATTCACCTAAATACTAAAGTATGACCATATCGAACTATATACAGCGTACTTTCGTCATTTCTAGTAGGGTGTTAGGATTTGAAACAAAAATCATCGAAGGTATAACTCCGATTACCGATGTATCTTGTACTTTCTCATTTCTAGTAGGGTGTTAGGATTTGAAACAAAAACCATCGGAGGTGGAATTCCGATTACCGATGTATCTTACTCCTTTTGTTCTGTTTGTTCCAAATTATGCAACGTTTTGACATTTCTAGATGTATAACTTTTGCCATGCACTTAGATATACACTATGTCTAGATATATATTAAAAGCAATATATTTAGAAAACATCTTATAATTTAGAACGGAGGTAGTACAATATAACATCATTTTCCTAAAATTCAGTCTCATAAGAATGACTATTTGGAATATGCACCACTTAATCAGTTTAGGGTGAAAATCTTCTCTCGCACACTCTTAGTTAACGTCAACTTATGTTGGATGTACATTTGACTTTACTACTATTACGGTGTTTATGTTGGTGTAATTTCTAGGTAGAATTTAGTGTAACTTATTTTTAGGTGGGAGGAAGGAATATTCACTACATTCTTTCTTATTGCTAGAAATAGAAAAATTTTATGAGCAAAAAATATATTAGAGGGTGAAAAGATATGGAGAACGAATTCTATTCAAATGACTCTCCGAATGATAATTTAGAGAGTGAGATTAAAAAGTCTCTTAGAGATGGCCTTACAACACCTTTAATCTTGGTGTGCAACTCTTCTTAATTCTAAAACAACTGAACTATTTTGTATAGCATGCTTATAAAATTCAGATGTAGGAATGATCTTTTTCACTGTACGATATAACAAAACTGTTTGTAAAAAAGGTAGATGATTCAATGATGACATTGAGGGTATGTTTTACTCAAAATCAGAGTTACGACAAAAGAAAAAAATCATTATTTTCATTTCTTTAATACGTACTACTCGTTTTAGTTTTCTCAATTTTAGCGGCCTGTTCGGTACTGCTGGCTAGATCGTAAATTATTACTGCTGGCTAATTTGGCGTGAGAGAAAAATAATATCCTCGAAGACACTGTTTATGTGAACGGTGCCCACGTGAGAAGGCCGATCGGCCAGCCGCTCCAGCCGAACAGGCTGATTATTGTTTTTCACTTTTCTCCCAGCTCCTCATGCGCCTCGTGCCACAGCTTTTAAAGCCCACCGCCCTCCTAATTTCGCTCTCACGTCCCTCTCCCTCGTCTGCCAGTGCCTCTCCCCTCCCAAATCCCAGTCCCCCTGTGTCCCTCGCGCGTCCTCGTCCTCCTCCAAGAACCAGAGCAAGAAACGGACGGGCCACCCGATCGATCAGGCGCGCGCGGCCGCAGCAGCCATGGGGCTGTCTTGGTGCTGGGGCCTTCGCCTCCTCTTCGTGGCGTCCCTGCTCGTCCTCTCCGCCGCGGCGCTGCAGCAGCAGCCCTCGCCACGCGCGGGGAGCCGGCCTCCTCCGCCCAAGCCGTCCGCCGCCGCCGCCGACGCGCTCCTCGCCCGCATGTGCGACCCTCGCGGCGCGCACCCGGCGCCGCCCTCCTGGTGCCACACACTGCACCTCAGGCGCCGCGTCGGGGCCGCGGGGCACCGCCACCACCAGCAGCAGCACCACCGGCCCGTGCCGCTGCCGCTGCCGCCTCCGGGCCGCGACGGCGCCGGCGGGGAGGAGATCGACGTGCGCTACGGCGTCGCCAAGCGGCTCGTGCCGACGGGGCCGAACCCGCTGCACAACTGAGGCTCACGCGCGCCGCGCGCCACGACGAAGGACGACGACGACGCGGCGGCGGTCAGTTCACCGTTTCTTGGACGCCGAGCTCCTCGCGCGATGTAAGCACTGCTCGTCGGCCTCTCTTGTTCCTGCTTTCCGGCCGCCACGCGCCGCGACGCCGACGCCGACGCCACGCCTCCGGAAAGGACTTACAATGGAGGACCGATCGACGCCTGGGCGTGCCGCGTGCATGACAATAATAGAGATACTAGTAGAGTAGATACGTGTGCCATGTATAGGCTCGTGCTTCGTCTTCCTTCCGATTCTTGACTTCTTGGCTTTTTCCCATTGCTCTGTTCCTTGCTGCTGGGGTCCCCTGTAGTTGCAGCCTTCTTGGCTTCCATTATTCACTAGTAGAAAACTGAAAGTTCCTTTTTCTCGCGGTAACGCCCGCAGAACTTTGTCGTTTCGCTCGCTCATGTCATTCTCGGCTTCTCGCCCCGGCCGCCGGCTCCGGCGAAATGGGAGTCCAGACACGCCATCTTTTCGGTTCAGTTTGGATTCTTTGCAGAGCTCGGGAGCTGCAGATGAGGTCATGCGCGCGTTATACTCCTCGCTGTGGTCGGCGTCGGCGTTGCGGGGCAGGGCAGCGCCGCAAGTAAATGCGCTCTGGTTCTTCCTGTGACTGCAAAAGGAGGATGCCGAAATTAATGGCGCGCTCCACGGTCTCGCCTTCCGCATTGATGCTGCCGTGGCAATTAGCATCGACGACGGCACGACGCGCCTTCTTCGTGCTCAGTGAGTCACAGCCTCAGCGCAGCGGGCAGCGAACACAAATGCACGGTCTTGGCGCGGTAACTTTCCACGACTTCTGGTCGGGCTATCATAACGAACTTTAACTGCCGGTGCCTGACGACGACGTCAGTACTAGGAGTAAACTCTGATGAGTCCAGAGTTGCAACTGACAGCGACAGGCTGACACCTGACAGCACTGCACCGTCTTCGTCGCCGATGAGAAATCTCCCCGGTCCCCGCCGCACTCCGCGCTCCTGACAGACTTGCCCCCCTCCCGGCGCAACGGCCGCGGTGAATCGGGTGGACGTGCGGCGGCGCTGCGCGAGCGGAGATCGGACGGACCTCGCAACGAAACCCGCGAGGCGCTCGGCTGGTTTCAAGACGTCCGTGCAATAGAAACTTCCGTCGGTGTCAGGTAATAATAATAAGCGACGCAGCAAGCGTTTCGACCTGTGAAGTGTGAGCTGCGATGCGTGTGGTCATAATGAGCTTGCTGTCCGACGCCCTGCCGCATGAAAGAAACCTTGGCGTGCGCCTGCTCGTGGAGGCAGTCCTGCATCAATAACTGAAACAGAGCAGTCTGCAATGCCTGGATCGGGCCGAGAAGTAACTCCTTGCCGATGGCCCGTGCGTAGATAGCGCCCCTAGTCTTGTGCATTCTGCAGCCTGAATTATGAGCAACACCGAATTCACCATCCCGTGGTAAGCGGACACTTCAAACATGGCAAAACATACCTACTCCGGTATGCTCCAAGCAGGTAAATTCCATATGCTGTAAAACCTGGCTTTCTATTGAAGGCAAGAAGACATATGTACTCTCCTAGATTGTAGCCTAATGCACCATACTTGCCCACTAACCACATAAAAATTAGACAGTGTCACCATGCTTCAAGCATGCACTGCAGCAACTATCCCTACAAATAAAACCATGCACATCCACCGGGCGTCACCTCTTCCTCCCAGAGACGGTTTTCTTGACAGCGCCAACAGAGACCAAGAACTCGTCCAGAGACGAGAGTGTCTTCATGTCGTCCGGAGGGAAGTAGCTAGCTGCCTTCCCCATGAAGGAGGCGAAGAGCAGTGAGAGACTGGGCGCTCTGGCAGTGCGCTCGGGGAGGAACTCGTCGAGGAAGGCAAAGGCGGCCAGAAAGTCTGACCGGCTCGCGTTGATCGGGGCTGCAAAGTGGCAAGGGATTATCCGTCGGAATCGCCAGTCCGCCGCAATCCTGTCAACCCAGTCCCTCACCTGTCGATCGAAGCAGATGATCTTGATTAGTTTGAACAGAATACTGTTACGTAGTACTAGCTGTAGTGTTGACATTGCCACATTGCCTTATCTAGGGCAATGAAGGAGAACTAGTGATCCAGTATAGATCAAATACAGACATATTAGAAATGGTTGTATTGTAAACTTTTTAAGTGTGGATTGGATGTAAATATCAGAAAAGACAGAAAGACTGCAGGTGGGGTCATTCCACAACTATCTGAAACATTCAGTTCTGTAAATCAGAAGATCACATGGTAAAGAAATGTTATATCTAACAATAATCTGAATAAGGAAGATATAATATTCATCATTATTATTTTTGTTACTGAAAAGATTAACAGCCACCATAGAATTGAAAGATGGATGCTACTAAGCTAAACGGTTTGTGTTGGTGGCGTGTAATAACAAAATGACGATTTGACACCAAATGATAATACGCAGGTCTACTTGAAGACAGTGAAATCATAATACATTTATGGTCCTTTTTTTCTCTTCAAAATGACTATGATCCCTTACACTACCTCTCTAAACAACAAGAAAATGTGTCTATGAGATTGTGACAGGAGTAACATCCAGTAAGGCATCAATAGAACGATGTGTGATGCTAGATTTTCCAACTGTCACAAGAACTTACCTTCTCCGGAACTTTGCTGAAAACAAGCGTCTTGACAATTGGTGAGACAATCAATTTTTGCGACATTTGAGCAAAACTTGCATTTGGCTCAAGCAGATTTGACGGACCAAGAAATAGTATTTGAAGCACCATTCTCTCCCACCCTATTGAAAATAACCAAGGAATCAGTCAGTATTGATGTGGACATGTGGTACATAACCTTGTACTATTGAAGATAGCAACATACTGTAATTTTTCCACAAAACTGACCTTTGACCTGAAAATTAAATATCTAAAGAATACTCATTTCCGTTGTCTACCAACTCAGAACAATACATAGAAAACATAGCATAATCGCTAATCAGTAGTCTAAACATCTGGGACATGATTTCACAGAAACTTCAGACTTCAGAGATAACGAAAATTACCAAGGTAGGACAAACATTTTGTAGTAAAGTTCTTATTCAGTCTCATAAAGAAACAATCAGTTGCAAATTTGACCTGTCTACACATGATAGTTCATTGACAATGAATGAAACTATTCTCGAACGGGGCGTGGTACGTTCAAATGTAAGAATTACAGTTAGCAAACTTCATCTGTTTTGTCTTCTTGTATTGCAATGTAGTGACAAACTGGTAACCACTGTACCAAAAAAAAAAAAGGTTTGACTGTAGTTAGTAGTTACCTTTCTGACGGTTTAGTTTATTGTCAACAACTGGTTCGTCGGGAACCTCCTTCCCTTTGCTCAATAGCTTCACTGCCAGTCCATTCTTTGCAGATGCCAACAGAGATTCTTTGCTGATACACTCCGGTGGCTGTTGAGGAACAAAGATGACAGCATCGGTCACCAGTAGTGTCCTTGAAGGCTTATGGTAGAACGCCACCTCCACATATGGCCCAATCCCTGAAAGCAAAGTGACATTCAGACTCCTATGCAGCAATGCACGAAACAATGCTGAACATCTGCAGGGACAATACCAACTTCCGGTGAGCTGAGCACCTTCTGCTCGATTTCGGCGGCCCAGGGTGTGGCGTCATCCTCATCTTTGAGAGGCTTGGCCCGGAAGATCCCGAAGAACTCGAGCGGCAGGTTGATTGGCCAGCTCCACTGCCTGGGCGCCACCCATATCTGAGCCTTGGGGAACTTCCGGGAGAAGGGCCCGACGAAGATTTTGTGCTCGTACGCGAAGGTCGGCAGCACGATGTGCTCCACCGGCGCGTCCAGCTCCTTGAGCAGCTGCAACCAATTGCATCAGCATGAGCAGAACTCGCTGGAAGAAGAAACAAGAGGTGGTATATGGGGCCGGGCAGGGTGCGTGCCTGGATGCACTCCTTGGTGGGCGCGATGGGCGCGTGCACCCAGAGCCCGCCGGACTTGAGCTTGATGACGGTCATGCGGATGTTGGTGGAGACGCTGCTGAAGCCCAGCGCCTGCTCCTGCTCGAACAGCCATATGCTGCCCTTCACCGCCTGGTCCAATCATTCGTCCCACCCCAACGGCCGGTGCACACCAACGCGAGAAACAGTGAGGAAATTTCCCTTCCAGTCGTCGACGGCGAGCAAAAGGCGAGGCGGCATGCGGGCGGACGAGAAGGTTACCTCGGTGCGGATGGTGCGGCGGTTGAGGAACGGGCCGAGCGGGAAGGGGAACCCGGTGAAGTTGAAGTAGAACCGCCCGGGCCCGCTGGTCTCCGCCTCCACCCCGGCCGAGGCCGAGACGGCGAGCCGCGGCCTGCGGGAACGGGTGCAGGGCGGCGGAGCGCTGACGTGGTGGGGCGCGAGCGCCCCGTGCTGCGCCAAGCGGAGCGGCCGCGGGGTGGAACTGGAGGCAACGGCTGCTGCTGCCATTGCTGTTCCGGTTTCGAGGCTTGCGGCTGGGGAAATTTCGGGCCACCCGGCGGTTAGTAGCGCGCCGGATTTGCAGGCCAGGTGGAACTGATGGCTGGATGGGTCGCCACGTGGAGGCGGCGGGTGGCTGGGAAAGTGGCAAGCGCTGCTGGCCGCCGTGGACCGTAGAGAGTGGAGTGGGAGGCGAGCACGCAACGGAACGGATGGCTCTGGAGTCTGTGAGCTCCGTTCTTAGTGCCCGTCCCGGTCGGACGGCCGTACTCGGACGCACACGCATGATGCGTTGCAACAGGCCCGACCAGCCTGCACGATAGTTTTTATTTTAAACTATGGTTTTGTTTGATGTTATCGGATCTTATGATTAGAGTGAAACATGATTGATGTCAATTCTACTACATCCAAATAAGACCTAAGTGATTTTGCTTAATATAAATTTTGTTACCCACTTTAAAACCAACCATAAAAAATATGCATGAAAATATCAACTGAAAATATAAATGAGTAGATGATGCGAGGATACATGCTCATACAAAATTTGAAGACGACTAAGATTTTATATAAAGAGAAACCAAAAAACGTTATTGGGTCGGGTGCACTGTTTACGTACATTCTGTACTGTTCACTAGCTATATACATATCCTTTACATTTCAAGACAGATAATAGATTAGTTGTGTTGGGAACTAATGTGATTGCAATTCATTGAGAAACCTACTAGGGCCTCGTTTAGTTCCGCCGAATTGGGGCTGGCAGGAACACTGTAGCGGCACTGTAGCTACAGTGTCGTTTTGTTTTTATTTGGTAATAATTATTCAATTATTGACTAATTAGGCTCAAAACGTTCGTCTCGCAAAGTACAACCAAACTGTGCAATTAGTTTTTGATTTCGTCAATATTTAGTACTCCATGCATGTACCGCAAATTTGATGTGACGGAGAATCTTCTTTTTGCATAGTGTCGAAATCTGAATCGGAGGCAACTAAACACGGCCTAGTTAGGAGCTAAGCTGCGAAGTTACACGTTGAGCTTGCCTGGTGCCAATGCACCACGGTAAGAAAAAAAATTCCACTAACTAGACAAACTTTCACCTTGTTTTTCTACCAAATTATATATGTCCTCTTAGCAGTGCACCACCATAAATTTAGAACTGGCTTCGCCCCTACTACTAGTTACACTCAAACATGGTTGAGATGATATGCATTTCAACATCAACATAAACCTATACATCAAAGACTATGTACACTATCAATAAGGATTTCAGCACAAGTCCAACACCGAATCAGCAGGGAGAATTTGGAATGGTCTCCTCCATACCTAGGCAAATAAGAACTTCTGAGCCAGGAGTACATCATAATCTTCTATGCGTGTTACTATAATTAATGAAAAAGTCGGGCGTATGGAGGGGAGTTTCAAAACCAAGATTAAGGATGTTGTAAGAATCGAATAAAATATTCCTTCGACATATCCAAATTTTTAGTTACCTCAAATTTAACTAGTAATTGCATCCAAATAATCATCATAACTCCATTACAAATTAAGCATAAATCTTAAAAATCTAGCATAAGTCTGAATAAAAGGCCTAAGCGATGGGACGCTGCTAAAAGGCTAAAGTCAATGGTACACAGCAACCATCAACCTTCAACGTGACGAAGTTCCACAAATTTTAGATAAGTCTAGGGGGAGAATTCCCCACCTGAGCATTTCATTGATTGTTGGCTCTCAAAGCCAGATAAGTTTATAAACATTTCATTTTACATTTTGCTGCTGTATATGATTACATTTCATTTGACAACACAGAGCACCAAATCGTCGCTATGGTTCGATCTTCTTGTGGCAGTCATGCTCCCCACGGATAAGATTCAGATTTACAGGCCGCCAAAGTTGCATTCAAGCTCATTCACTCACCTCTTAATACCGGATTGTTCCGCCTTTTCCAGATATTCCAACATCATAAGATCAAGAAGGTACTGAAGTATTTTGCCGGTATATGATCTGGTGGTTGTATCTCCCTTAGAGCCTGAACTGACCAATCTTGATTAGTTGTTATTTGAACTGCATTCCAGAATTGACAAGCTGTTGTGCAGCCAAAAATTATGTGCTCTGGTGTTTCATCCACAGTCGGACAGACTTCACAGGTGGTGGTGCTTACTACTCCCTTTTTCTGGAACAATGTTTTGCACTAAACCCCACTCATGTGGGATCCTCCGACACTAGGTCTTTCCTTTAATGTTTTGCACTAAATTCTCCCTTGAGAGAGCAGCCATGTGAAGAACTTTACTCTAGGCGGCGCTTTGTTTTGCCATACGAACTTGCTCCAAGCATTCCAGTGGGGTTAGCTGTTTTGAGTGCCTTGTAGATCAGCGGGATGTCCAGATCACCATTCTTTTTTAAGAGCATACTTCGGCGTTTGTCTCTTCCTTGTGTCAACGTCAGTTGATTTAGGATTTGCGTCACCTGACTGAATTGTTCAATTGCCATAGCTGATAGGCGCGTCCTTAGTTGTTGCTGAAGGCGCATGCCTATTCCACTGTAAGCTCTTGGATTTTGCAATGACTGAACAACTGAGGAAACCTTTTAGCCATAGCGTTGGGGTTATTATTTCCGGTGTCTCAAAGCAATGATGAGTTAGCAGGCCGAGCGGCCCACGATACATCAGCCAGCAAAAACCCAAACGACCGAGGCCCAGCTGATCCAAGAAAACTAGGCCAAGCACTAAGGATAAGGTCGGCCACGACCCCTTCATCAGACTTAGCCGCAGGACGCACAAGAAACTCACGACCTCTCCACCGTCCCGATCCCTGGGAGGAACGAGGAGAGGTCGGACCCGGCGAAGCATGCTTGCTCTGACAGGAGTGAGCACGCCACACTGACCCCACAAGAACCAAGGGGACAGCGGTCACTTCGGTCTGGTCAGACGTCATCCCTGTGCCACGCAGCACAAACAAGACAACACCGCATATCAGTGACTGCTAGTACGGCGACCCACCGTCCAAATACGGACCAACAAGACGCATTTACGATCCTACCCACCACGAGATGGGATCCATGACGGAGGCCTTGACTTAGAGACCACCCAAACCGACGGAAGCCACAACCCCGGAGCCCAGGATTGTGGCCACCAACTCCACAAGCAAACCCGGTAATCGACGACCTAGGGGATGCTACCAACTCTTGTACGATGCCCCTAGGAGACCAAGAGGTGATGACGAAGGCCACGACGAAAACCGCGTCGCATAGGACGGTTGGTGAACCACCACTGTGCCAATAGTGCTGCCACGGCCAGCACAGTGGCACCACGTCACATCTTACCGTGACGTGGGCATAAGACTATGACGACAACCATGCCTGGACATACACCACAAGACGGCATAGCTTGCAAGCCAACTTAGATAGGCCCCTCCCTCATGCTCACGACCCCTCAATCTGGAGAACCTTCATCTTTGTACCTGCCGTAGCCTCGAACTTTATATAAGGGCAGCCAGGGCACCTTCTCTAGACAGACTCACATTCTCTCATTCTCCACATCTTTGGACTCCTAAAGCTTCCCTTCAGGCAATTCATCTTCTAGCTCTAGCTCTCCTACCTCTTTCACCTTTCTTGCACCCCTCATTGTAAGAACTTTAGAGCATTTCAGCGAAGAACACACACTCGATCATCTCTGAGACAAGACGTAGGGCTCTGGCCTGAACCAATATAAATCCTCGTGTCTTTTGGATGCTACCATCGTTTTCCTAGAGCAGCGCGGCAATCGTATAAATTTACTAGTTTGATTTATAAAACATTGACACATAGAGTCTTCCCCTTCCCATACATCATGCTAGAAGGATGTTGTACTTCCATCAGCTAGAATTATAGTGGTGATAGCCTGATAAATTGGCAATATGGAGCACAACATGTCCCAGTGTTGGCCAAGTAGGTTGCCTGTCAAAGATGCGACACTAGCATTTTCCCGCACCCACTGAGCCCACGATGAATTGCTATCAAGATGTAGCTTATGGATCAGTTTGAGCAGCAAGCATATGTTCTAGGTTCCAAGGTCTTTCAATCCAAGCCCCCCTGTTCTTTTGTATCACAAACGTGATCCCATGCCACCAGATTCCTTGTTCCATTTGAGCTTGCTGTCCCAGACCATAGGAAAGAGCGTCGCTTGCGGTCAACTTGATCTATGACACCATGTGGTATGGCTAGAGCACACATAGCATATATAAGTTGGTTGTCCAGAACCGAGTTGACTAGAGTTGCACGTCCCATCTGATTCAGAAGAGAGGCCTGCCATTCTGCAAGGTATTTATCAGCTTTTGCAATTTGTGGCGCAAACACAGAGAGGCACAACTTGTTGTTTGATAAGGGCAGTCCTAGATAAGTCTGAGGGAAGCCTTCCTTGCGACAACCAAGGGCTGAAATGCATGACTCCACAGCCCTCTCATCCATATGGATCGGCACTGCAGTGCTTTTTGTAAAGTTGATTTGCAAACCTGTTGCGTTGGCAAACCCGATCAAGCAGGGTTTTTAGTGCCTGGACATCAAACAACTCTCCTCGCACCAGAAGCAGTGTGTCATCGGCGTATTGCAACACCGATGTAACACCTCGTGTGTTTAAAATACTAAAACCTGACATGTCATCATATGCATTGCAAAGCATTTGGCATTTGGTGAAAACTTTGAGATGCATACACTAAAACAAGTTTATATTCATGTGGTATGTGTTGAATTGTATTGGTTGACTCTAGTTCAAAGTTTGTTTGGATTTTGAATTTTTTTTTTGAGAAAACCCCGCTTTTCAGCATTTTAATCCTACCCTGAAAACTCATTTCAAAATCTAAGCATAATTTGGGGTTGATCCCAAAAGCAAAAGTGTAGAGCTTGGCAAGTTATACAAAGTTTGTTTTTGGAGTTTTTCAAGTTGTTTAGAAAAATTTTGAGTAATTCAAAAAGGCGTAATTCGTTAAAATTCCCTATTCAAATTCAAAAGTTCATTTCAAAATCTAGACCGAATTAGGAG